GCACCAAGTGAATTTTTTTTAAAAGTGTATTTTGTACTGGCTTCTTCCCAGCATGAGAATAAAGTGTCGGTCTCATTTGGTGTGGCCTGCCGGTGTGGCCTGGGGAGGTGGAGTGGGCAGAACCCAGCAGGGAAGGTCTTGAGTGGGGGCGAGTGTCTGGTGGCGGCTGCAGCCGGCTGGGAGGATGCAGGGCTCCCTCTGGGTCCCTGTGCACCTGCCCGTCCTCGCTGACTCCCGCGTCCTGAGTCCGACTACCTCTGCTTTCACTCCTGCTGCCATGGCCCTCTTCCTTCTTCCCACTTGCTGTATCTTTCTGTTAGTTTTCTGGGTTCCTATATCTGGGAGTTTCCCCAAAAAACCAAAGATGGAAACTTTTTGGAAAAAAAATCTATCATCAGTTTTTTTTGTGGTACTTCCTCTTTCCCTTCCCATTGAGCATTGAGGTCACACTTCCCGCATGTGAGCCAACCCCGCTGATAAACTCCTGTTGACAAGGATGGAAGATCGCCTCCTGGAAGGAGGAGGGCTTTAATAAGAATCAGGTGACATAAGCCCCAGAAGCCTGCCTTTGCTTCCATTATTTGGTCAGTGAGTCCCTGGCCTTGAGTTCATTATCTGGGCAGGAAGACAAAACAAACTCACACGGAGCAACCAGAAGAGCAAATACAAAGTGTCTCAGCAGGGCAAAATGACATGGTTGCAGTGGAGTCCAAAAGCCCTGAGGGGCAGGGGTTCAAGGTGTGACCAGCGTCATAGGTCCCCGTCCAAAGAGTCTCAAGGCCAGGAAGGGACTTAAAAGTGTCCGAGGCTGATGGCTGCAGGGAGCCATCAGGGGCTTATCTGGGCAAGGTGACATCTACTACTGCTCCAGCAGAGCAGGGACACGGGCGCGGCGGATGTTGAGGGCACGCAGTTAAACACGAGGCCCGCTTTCCGGCACCGGGGACAGATGCACGTGCTGGTGGAGAGGGGCTGGCATCTGCTCCTTAGTCAAGGTGGGGCTGCGGGCTCCTGGGACTGGCTTTCTCATGATGCTCTACTCAGAGGAGGCAGGAGGTGGGGTCTGCAAAATGGAAGCGGGAGGAGAGCTGAGGCGGTGGAGGGGTGTGGCTCTTCTGCTCCCCTGGACCGAGAGCCAGGAGGCTGGGTTCAGAGCTGAGCTCCGGTCCTTTGTTCCTTACGTGTTTATTAGACATGTACTACAGGTGAGGCACCGCCCTGGATGCTGGTCCGTGCTCTCCTCCCGGGGTCGACATTCACCCCAGAACACCGTCCCAGACCCAAGGCATCCAGAGCCTGTTCCTGAGCCTTTTTCTTTGTAAAGGGGAGCAGGGGTGAGGATCCGTGATCTGCTGGGTAAACATCACGTGGGACCATGTTGCTTCCTCTCACACTTTGACTCACTGGCTGACTGGTCCTGACAGTGTCCTGAGCGTGGGGTGCAGAGATGACTAAAATGAAGCTCCCGGCCTCCAGGCCAGTGGGCACGCAGACCGGCGAACTTAGGAGTTAAAGGAGACAACACAGGGGAGGCTGCCCTGCAGACAGGGCTGCCCCAGGCTGATGTCCAGAGTGGGCTTTTGGAATCTCAACAGCATTTGGCACAGTGGCCCACCCAGCGCGCCTCCAGCAGGAAGGCCTGAGTGAAGTGGGGTGTCGAGGGTGCTGAGGGGCCAGTTGGAGGGAGAGAGCTGGGAGTGGGGCCCTGAGGCGGGAGCCAGCTTCCCCCGCCAGGTGGGGATTCCGGCCAGAGAACACCCGGCTGGCTTTGAAGGGGAGCCCTGCTTGTCCTTGTCATCCGTGTATAAGAAAAATAAAGAGTTGGGAGGTCTGAAGAGGACCTCCTCCTGAACTATCATGAAAATAAACGAGGCCGATCAGAGGAGTGGAGGGGACACTAACCTAGAGAGGTTCCTCTTGGCAGAGTGGAGGGACTCCATCCTGGGAGTGTCCTCTCGCCCCTGACAGATCAAGTTCTGTCAGCGAGGGTCTCATCCGGCTTCACACGGAGGGTGAATGTTCAGGTAAGACTAACAGGTGGCCAATCCTGGACCAACAGGAGGACAGCCAGGATGGGTCTCTTAACTCCCTGGAGCTGTGCCCTGTGAAGGCATCCCCGGCCTCTCCCGCCTTGACTCCCTGGCAGATCAGTGCCTGATCTGCCCCATCTCCCTCCTCACATGTTTGCTCATCCATCCACCAAATACCTACCAGCGTCTCCATGGACCAGCACTGCAAAGTGCTGATGGGAACAGGGAGGCAGTACGACCTGTGGATGGTACCCTCCAGAGGCGTGGCTCAGTGGGGCTGGTGAGCAGAGGACAGGACGGGACAGGACGGGAGTTAGGGGCTGATCTAGAGGGAGGCTCGGTTTGCTCCCTTGCAGGACTGGGAGGCAGAGATGATGCTTGTGTGTCAGGACCCACTCTGCTTTTCAAGGGGAAGAGAGTCAGTTCTCCCCCAGAGCCTGCAAGAGGAGTAACTAAGACCCAGGGAGCACCTGCAAGCCGAAACTGCTCTCAGAGAAGACGTCCGGCTCAGCCTCCTGCCCCCAAAGCCCCCAGCAGTGTCTAGGGTCACTGCCCACAAGAATTGTTTGCATTTACTCTGGGAAACGGCCAGTTGGATAAAAGGGGCCTTGGTGATGGACCTCGAGACTCTCCGCCTGAGGTAGACTAACTTTGTCACCACTGGGAACCGTTCCTTCACTGCATCTCCATCTCACCTGAGTGGTGGGACTCTGGAAGAGCTGCAGGGAAGAACTGGCCGAGTCAGGAGGCCAGTCGCTTTGTTATGCTTCTTCTGAACTTGTGTCTAGGTAGTCTCTGTCCACGGGGATCCAAAAGCAGCTCCCTCCATCACAGCATCTTGGGCCCGGAGCAGGTGGCGGCAGCTGGACCAGCACCTTTCACCTGCAAGCAAAGGAGCTCGGCTCTGAATCCAGTCCAGTCTCCTGGTTCTCAGTCCAGAATAAGAGCCACCCACCTCCTCAGCCTCAGCTCTCCTGCTGCTTTCGTTTTGCAGAACCCAGCCTCCTCCCTCCTCTGAGACAGCATCGTGAGAAAGCCAGACCCAGGAGCCTGAAGCCCCACCTTGACTAAGGAGCAACCCCAGCCCCTTTCTGGCAGCGTGTGCATCTGTTCCTGGTGCTGGAAAGAGGGTCTTCCGGGTTTTATTGCGTGCCCTCAGTGTGCCTGCCTGCGGCCCTTCTCTGCTGGAGCCGTGGTAGATGTCACCCTGCCTGGATAAATCCTGGATGGCTCCCTGCCACCTTCCCAGCTTGGCTGGGGAGGGGAGGGAGTGGTGGGAGGCAGGACTCCTGTTGCTTGGCTCCTCTCAGTTTGCCCAAATGTTTCCTCACAGAGCAAAATTGCCGAGAGCTCTACATTTGTCAACATTCCTTCGTGAAACTGAGAAAAATAACATTTCAGGACAAGTTGGACAGTGAGCTCCACATTGCCTGTTTTTTGTTGCCTATATAGATCCTGGAATGGAGAAAAAAATTAAGAAACAATTACATACCAAGTGATACTTGAAAATATTTCTCTTGTAATACTTCTATATCCTAAACATTTTAATGTATCTATTTTCTTTCTGAATAGGTTCATGTTGGTCTGCTGACTCTTCTCAGAAAGGACTAAATCTTTATTTCAAACATATGTATAGAATGCTAAAATGTCCTTTGTAAGAAGATGGTGATAATTAACAGTACTTGTTTTTTAAATAGCTTTGCCTAGCAAAATTAATGTTGCCAACCCTACAGTTGTTCTATATTATTACTGAAATTATATTGGATTCTGAAGTTTATATAAATTTGAAGCTACCAAGTTTTAACCACTGATAAAAAAATAAGCATGGGCTGTATTTGTTTAAAGTGTTTCAATTCAATCAGCAGGTTGTAAACATCTACCCTACTTTTTTTTTTTCGTTTTTTAAGCAACTCTATGGACATAGAACTCTCCTGGAGCTTACCATAGTGAGGAATGTAGGTACAAAGTAATTCCACGAGTGGAAAAGCACAGGGGGCTGTGGGAGCTTATGCCAAGAGAAGCCAGACTTCTGGGCTAAAACTTGACAGCCAAATGGCCAGCTGAAGCCAAAACCCAGCAGTCAGGGAGACCATGGCTCAGCATGGCTGGGACCTAGAACTTGGCTTCTAGCAGGGGGCACACACATTGAATAGCACCCTGGCCAGTTTTCTCTTCAGGACCATGAGGAAGAAATGAAAGTCAAGGCCAAAGGGGGAAGTTCTTAACTTCTGTTCCACCTCCTTTGGAGAGCCAGCATGTTGTGATGATTCCGGCAGAGGAGCTGCATCATAACCAGATATGATCTTGGGCAAGTCCCATAACTGCTCCTAAACTAGGAGTGATAGCAGTGCCCACCCTGAGGGGTTTGGCGAGGATTAAATAAGTGAGTTTTGTGGACATACTAAGAGCTCATAAATGGTAACTGCTATCTTCCTACTGCAAGAAGGGCCTAAAGGTTGCGCCCAGCGATATTTGGGTTAGATGTTTAAAAGGACCTCTAGATTAGAAGGCCGTGAAATCCTAGATTATGTAGTGGAGTCATGGCAACCAAGAGACTATAACGCAAAAAACAAGCCACAAACTATCTGTGGTTAATTGCTTATGGCCCCCAAAAGAGACAAGAATTGTGTGCAATGACTTCTCGGGATCTCTTCCAGCCTACAGGCTCCTGGAATGCATTTTAGGCCTGGCCTACCAGCCGGTTTCTAAGACTACAATAGTGATGTCCACTGCTATTGAGAACCCTGGGAACTGCTCAGTTCCAACGTCCAGCCATATAAATCTGATAAAAATAGGAGCTGAAACACCATCCTGGAGTTGCTATTTTTAAAAGCGTTCTGAAATGCCGGATTGGGTCTGTTTCTTCCTCAAACAGCATCCTGCCGTTCCCTCCTCCTGGTGGGCAGGATGCTAACATGGCACGTGTGAGGGATGGGGGCCAGAAGCCTGTGAGGGACATGTGTCAAGTAGCTCGGCGCCTGCTACCCACACCCCTGCCTGCCAGGGAGGAGCCGCGGGCCCTGGGCCCCCCAGCTCCAGATGCACCTGCCCCTCCCACGCCACTTGTCCTCTGCCTCCTCCCTCTGCTCCAAGCGAGGGCCCTCTGCTGCCCCAGCAGAGCGGTGTCCTCCACTTCCTCCACAGCAGAGCCAGAGCCAGAGAGGTAAGGGAGGGGGGCAGAGGAGGTGGGAATGGAGGCAGCATGGCTGAGAAGGGGACCAGAACCCAGACCATGGACCCTCAGGTAGTCTTCCTGCAACCTTTGCACAGCTCACCTCCGACAGGGCGGTCTCAGGAGCCAGAGTCCTGCTTGCCCCACCACATGGCCTCTTGCTGAGCAACTCAAAGTGCCTTGCAGATGGGCTGAAGAGGGGCTGGAGAGGCAGAAGGGGCTCCAGATGAAAAGTACCAGAATCCTCCTGACCCACGGATGACGGGTTCTAGGCGGCTAGGTCAGCATCTGGCTGTGCCATTGAGAAGCTGGAGGGGAAAGATCATGAGTCAGCACATTGTGGCCTGAGGGGAGAAGTCAGGATTACAGTTAGCTTCTGGCAACCAGTCACCAGGCCTGGGATAAACTGGAGGAGGGCGGGGATAGGAGATCTGAATGCAGCTTATAGGACAGAGGGGGGATTCCACCTGTGGAACAACAGCACACACTTACATAGCACCTTGTACTTCCAGAGCAAATTCAGGTCCACTGCCTGAGTTAATACTTACAACGGCCCTTTATTATTTTTTAAAATTTTTTAAAATTTTAAAATTTTATAAACTTTAAAAAATTGAGTTATAGTCATTGTACAATGTTGTGTTACAGCCCTTTAAATTAGCACACTTATTTCATTTTCTTCCAGTAAGAAAATTAAAGTTATTTAGTGACTGAGGCAGAGTTGGAAATCAGGTCTCCAGGAGCAAAAGTGGACCCTTCTGTTCTGTTTTCCCACAAAGTGACGCTTACGTGGTTCACAGCGAGAACTGCCAACTGTGTGGAGATCTAGTTGACTGAAGTGCAGATGCTGGGCTGTTTCTCAGCTCAGCACTGCCAGACTCGCCCGGTCGCTTTGGGTGGATGCTCACTCCCTTCAGGCCAGGTTTCCCACCTGTACGACAGGGAAGCGATTCCATCTTCCTCTAGCCTTACCCAGGGCAGGGACTTAAGTCATTGTGTTCTTTCTCCCTAGCTTAGTTCCAGACCTGGAGCTGATATACAATAAATATTTGTTGAGCGAATACTTGACAAAGGCACGATTCAAACATAATTAAGTTAGATATGGGTGAAATGCAGAAAAAGACCTCTGCCCACACAAGGTGTGATTTAGGAGGGAACAGTCACCTATGGAAGAACTTGAGGCTGTCTGTCTTCACCCTGCTTTCTCCACTTTGCTCATGCAGGGTAGAGCTTTCTGTGTTATCTGTTCTCAGCCGATAAACAGTCCGTCCAGTTTCAGGTGAAATGAATCTTGAACTGACACTTGTGACTCCTCTTCGGCAGTTTCACCTTATACTTAGTCACATCCTGTCTTGCCTTATTGTTGAATGGGAGTCCGCCGTGAGCCTTCTCTCTGTTACTGGATGGTGAGCTTCCTTGGGTGGTGGTGGTGGTGGTGGGGTGTCTTACACTTTCCTCTTAGCCCTGGAGCCCCCAGCATCAGGCTGTTCACACTAAGGGCTCAGTAAACACTAACCTATGAAAGAGAGTCCTGGGTGCTGAGGACTGTTCTGTGGGTGACTTCTGGACTGTTACTGGCCTGAATAGTTCCCAGGTTTGATTGCGGTGCGTGGGCCCCAGGAACTAGGGTAGCGGCCTGATGGGGTTTCCCCCGGAGACAGGATGCCTGGCGCCTTCAGTAAGGAACAGAAACTGAGACACTTTCTCAAGGCCAAGAGAGGGTGTGCAAAGAGGGATGTAGAGGGAACAGTGTGGGGGCAGCAGATCCGGAGCAGGGCAGGGGAAGGGCCCCAGGTCTCTGTCCAGGGCACCTGGCCACTGTGCATGGTGGGGTGGCCCTCCCTCTTCAGTGCCTCGCTTTCCTGCGTGAGGGAAGGATGCGGCTCACCGTGTGGGAGAGCGGAGAGCCCTTTGTTGGGTCTCATTGTTCCCAGGAGGGTGTGCAGAGGCTGCGCTGGGCACATCCATTCTGGTGCCACTCACAGGCTGCGCCCGCCAGAGCTCTCCCCTCACCCCACCGGCCT